AGAGTAGGAGTTTGATCAATAAGGTTGGGGGGCAGGAACTGGGAACAAAAAGAAGAGAAAAAACCCTATGAACAAGGATGAAATAAATGCCTGACCAGAGACTGGCATTGTATGCTAGTAGAAAGGATTGGATAGTAACAGAGCAGGTTAAAACTTTGAAAACTGGGCAGATTCCTGGATGTTCACTTCTCACTACCAAAGAATCTCTCTTGTTCCCCTCCCCATTCCTTCTCCATAGCAAAAACATGCAATGTGTTTTAGCAATACTAAAGTAGCAACAAATACAAATTAAAAATATTTCATTTATTAGTTACTGTAGTAACTAAAGCAACAGACACCCTTACCATGAATCCCAAGCTTCCAACTCTAAAACAAAGAGCAGAATACCATTTTTGCCAAAACTGGTAGGAAGTTGTACACAACAAACACAACATCAAAAATTAATATTGCATGAAGGATGGAATGTAGAACTTCTGCAACAACTTTCCCCTTTCCCCTTATGCATACATATTTAGGCAACATCCTTAATTACATGATCACACCATTTTCCACCTGGCATCCATGTGTTTTAATACACACAAAGGATTCATGCTAATGGTGAATTGGAGCTGTACATAAAACACTTGGACCACTACTTTCAGGACTCTCACCACTCCTCCCACTGAAACAGTAGGGTGACAGAAAGGCTGAGAAGATATGAAAGGAAAGCCTGGACTGCAAATGAAGTTCTTCTGTCTCATGGTTAAGACTACTGCAATGTTGCCCTGGGATTCTGGCCTCCCCCAGCATCACAGAAGGATTCTGTAACAAGGAAGCTACCTTAGCAAAATCTTTCACAGATTGTTACTTATCTTGTGCTTTCTCTGCCTCCAGGGGTCAAACCTGACTATTTTATAAATGCTGCAATGTTTCAAACTGCCTCTGAGGCCAGCAAGCATACTTCTTTGAACTTGAACACGTAAAATGCAAATACTTCCAAGTCTTAGAGGCACATACCCAATATTCACCAATATTCTTGTTATTAATCTGTTATAATAAAGAATCACCTTATTTATCTCCCTCATCTCAGAAGTACTGTAAGTATAATTTTACTTGTATTAGGACAGTCACTTGCATAAACTGACAAGGAAATCAACAGTGTTTCCAGAGCAGGGTTTGAATACAGTGCAAATACGGCATAAACAAAGTGTTGAAGAAACTCTGTGTAGCAGTGAGACATTTGTTTTGAGGGGTGAGGTACAAAGGGTTTTGGCTATATTCTTTTTCCAGGCTGGATACTTCTTCCCCAAACATGGCTATTTTAACTGTAAGTTACAACAGCCAGAATGCTGTAAAACCAAGTCAAATTGATAAAAAAATACATCACAATTCTTCTATTGAAACACTTTCACAATATGATTTCTGTTTTAATGATTGCATCTTCTTCAACTAAGATTTTCAGAATTAAAATTAATAACCAGAGCTCCTTGACAATCACTGAAAGATGAAGAAAATTCCTATGATTCCAGGATGCAAATCTTCCTCCTGCACACTCAGTGAGGCCCCAATGAAAAACAATTCATGGGGTTTGTGGTGATATGGATAGGGGTCAGGGAACAAGCCAACGAGGCTGGCTGTCAGAACCAATCTATAGCTTCATTTCCACGTAAATCTTTTCATGACAAGTCAAAAGTGCGGACACCATATTTCTTGGCCTATAAAAAGTCCAAGTCACTCTACCTATACCCCTCTTCCATGCAGGCTGCAAATGGCCAGACTGACCACTCGTACCTTCTGACAGATTCAAGCCAGGCTGCTGCTATCAACCAGGGCAGTTCAGTCTGATCAGCTACAGCAGGCCGAGCCCAGAGCCCAGGCACTGAGCTGCTCATGACGTGGGGAAGCAGCGGCTGTCGGGGCAGCATATCCCTTCTAACAAGCGCTGCCTCTCTTTTTGACAGAAGGACATTGGAGAGGGCACCAGTGGGATATGAGGGCTGACATTCCCGTGGGCTGTCACATCGACTATAATGACCTACATCTACTCTTCTCTGCCATTCTTCCCTCTGGCCTCCTGCAGTATCAATGCTGTTCTGTTCCTCTGTTCCACATGGTGCAATTAGGAAGAGAGATCACCCTGCTGTATACTAATGGCCCAACTCACTTATTTTCCAATCTTAGATTGGCAGGAGACAGGAACTTTTCTTTCTTTAAATTGTTAGGCATCAAGTACATTGACACATATAATGCTAAAAGCAAGGCAACTCTGCTGCCATAACTGACACGGTAAAATTTATGTATAACACCATCCACTCCAGGAAGCTGCAGGAATTAGAGGTTTGCCAGAAACAGCAAGGCAGAAGTATGGATCTAAATTAATTAAAATTAGTAAAATTCCTATTGAAGGGACAGTTTGCAGTGGGGTATTGTCCTAAGTGTAACATGTAAAACATGGGAGACATTCCTGCATAGAAAATCTCAGTTTCATTCTGCTCAAGGCCAGCAAGTTTCATGGAAAAATGCTCTATTCTCCCACCTTGCAAACTCGGCCTGTTCTGACTTTTTCAGATGTCTAAACCCTTGTCTTTGCCTTCATTTGAATAATAAAGCCATCCCATCAGTTAATGAAGTTTACTGAAGAAAAAAGGCCAATACAGAATAGTATTGAATTTGCCCTTGCTCGATCCAAGTTCTCTACCAAGGAAAAGAGTCCATCACATCTTCCTTCAGCTTGCTCACACACACTGACTACTTACTAGTAGTAATGAAGACAACTCATCCTATCACCAGTACAAACCTGGTAAAAGCCAAGGCATCTTCTCAAGCAGTAGCCAAAAGCCATAATCTGAGAACTGAGAATTCGGTGACAGGTTTTTCCTATGGTTATCTTCATTGTTTTGATTTGCAACAAATTTATTTTTCAAAAACTTAGCTAGCCAGCAGGGCAAACATCTGCCCAAAAGAGGAGTAGTTTCCCAATAGATTTAAAGTTTATCTCATCAATACCTTAATATGCTAATAAAATTCATGAATAGTTTAAGGTGAGTGTTTAAGGCCAGGTGTTTAGTCTACTTCCTTTCCAAACAGAACAAGGGAAGTGCACACATCACATAAAAAAAAAAGAATTAAACTTTTAAAATAAACAAAACAACACAAAAATCTCTAAGAAATTGAAAAATACAGACCATAGCTGTCATCAGTTTTCCATATTACTCTTAAAGCTGACAGCTTCCGACGTGGCCCATACACAGATACTCTAATTGTAGTGATAGGAAACATGTATCATAACTGCTAGTAAATTCTTAGGGTTTGATTTGTTGTTCATTTGTTTTTGAATAACCTTAACTACTTCCCGTGGCCTCTGATGAGTTTGATCTTGCTGGGACATCCCACACTCCTCCCAGTGGGTGTAGCTTTCTAAACAATTGGCATTCAACAATAGATAACATTGAACCATTGGCAGAGCAGCTCCAGAGAATGACATACAGTTATGTAAAGCTTGGAACAAAGGCATTCACAGGGATCCCAGGAACTGGATTTTCATATGACTGATCATCACAGAATGCGTTACAATAAATGCTGCAAGCTCTGAGTTCTACTTAGTTACTTTGGTTCCTTGCAGTAATTCTACTCTTAAATACACTAAACTACATCCTGAACTGAAAAAGAAAGGGGAACACCAAGTTGTCTTTTCAGATATTTTTATGCATCTCTTACCTGCACACTCCAAGGTGACTGAAATGGAGCTTTCTGAGTGTATCATGTCAAAGTGACACAACTCCCAGTCGGGGTATTTTTCATAAATTTGATATTTTTCCTTACAGAATTTAGTGTCCTTCACTTGAAAGAACAGCCAAGAAAGTACAACTTCACCAAAATACTTCTTTCATCTACCAGCTGAACTTTTTTCACCTTGACTAAATGCACATTCTACATCTGTTTAACACTGCACTAAGGAAGCTTTAAAAAAAACCCCTAAAAGTGAATGAAGGACTAGTAGCCTCATTGACAAACACACTCTTGTGGTTTTATTTTAAAACTGTTTCTAACCCTAAAAAAGAATTCATTTTAGACAAAATTAATATTCTTCTGGATGCTTCTGATTGAAATGACTTGATGAAGCCTTCTCAAGAACAGTTTTGAAGGACCTCCATGTTGCAGGCCCCCAGTGAGTTTAAACCAGCTCATTAGCACCAGACAACAGGACAGACAGGACAGCAAAGCCCTCAGCACAGGCTGCAATGGGTGGTAAAGAGCCAGTGTGAATACTGGGACAATCTGCTCACACATCTTAGTGCTCCTATGGCAATATTTCCAGCTGAGCTTGACTTATCCAGCTACTTCAGCCAACTAAATTCATACAAGTTGTCACCAAAGCAACTAGAAAAAATAAGTCTATGTCCATTAAAAACTCTGCCACTGATATATTATTCTGGAGGAAATTTCAAAATTTGAAAAGTTTAGGCAAACTATTTTGATCTTAACTGACTTTAAAAATGAAAGAAACATAAACCAGGATTGTAAACAACACTTAATGCAAAATTAGTAATGAAAGGTCACCCTTCCTACAGAAGATTTGTGAAATACACAAGGAAACAAAAACAACAAGGAGATTTTTGAAGTGTGTTTGTAATAATCCCCTCAGTTTGGGTTCTTTGTATGATTAACCTGTTCCAAATGTTAGATTGTTGTGCTTAATTATCAAGGGATTTAAATACTTTACTGAACCACAATTCAGAACTAAAAAAACCTCTGCAGCTGCTTTATGAGAAATCCTAATCTGAACTCATTTAAGGGATGATCTTCCCTCATGATAATAATTTCTCTAGTTTCCATAAAACTACAAATGTTTTGAGGAAAGTTTTAATTCTCTAAGCTGCATTTCAATTTGTTTCTCAAAATGTCTTAGATCACACCTTATATAATAGTAATTCTCTGCATGGAATGGAGGAAGGGAGAAAAGCCCAACAAACATTTACAGTAGCTTTGTTAGGAAGTTCCCTTAATTTTATAAACGGTACCTTGGATGTAAGGTCTCGGTGGAAAATGCCTTTATAGTGAAGATAACTGATTCCCATGGCAATGTCATATGCCAGTTTCACCCTCACTGTCCAGGGCAGATGCTGGTTGCCATCTAGTAGCTGTTCCAGGTTACCACAATTGATGTACTGAAAAGACAAAGCAACATTTGTAATTTATTATTTAACTTAGTATTTTGTCAGGAAAGTAAAATTCACCATTACAACAAATTACCTCAGCTCAGTTACACATTAAAATCTTTTTTCATATGAGCTTGGCAGGCGCAAAGTTTGCAGATCAAGAGAAGCTGAAAACGTCTCCCTTCACCACCTCTACCAATGCCCTTATGTAAAAGATGCAACAGCTACCACTGTATTAACTCTATGATTTAAAGAGACCTGTCAGAAACACCTGAAATATCATATCACCCTCTCATTTCAGCTTGAGGAAAATTAGGGGGAAAAAAACTATGCAGATCTGACTTTCATATAGAATTAATCAACAAAGGCAGAGCTAAGCATCCAAGTGTAGGTCATGGAGCCTGATCAAGTTCCCAGTTTCCTTAAACTGAAACGGCATCAAAGAAAAATATTACAATGTGCTGCTGTAAGTTCTATTTCTTCACTGCTGTATCTACAAGTTCTAATCAGCAATATGATTCCCACTGTGTTCAGTGCTACATCAACTCCATCAAATGGCAGCCCTCAGGAAAAGGAAAGCACATTAAATAAAAGATAAATGCTACAAGGGACAGTGAAACAAAGCAGCACCTAAGTGATACTAAGTAATACAGCCCAGGTTAAGACATGGAAACTCCAGAGTTTAAATAACCATTACAGCAGCACACCTTGTGCTCTGTGTATATACCAGCATATGTAGTATTTAAACAGCTCCTTCTTACACCCCCAGCCCCAGTCACCCACCAGTGACCAGGCAAAAAGAATAGCTCACTCCAGAAGGAAAACCTTGACTTCTGTCAAGGAAATCCAAGTGAAGCAGACAGGACAATTTGCTCCCAAGCCTGGCCCATGTGTGTACCCCCGCACCAGACTGCCCCAACTTCACTTCTCTGTGCCATGCAGGTCTCCAACTCTCTCTCAAATTACTTTTCTGTGTCATTCACTCTGACAAAACATGTGGCACCATTCTCATGTTAAAAAAAAAAAAAAAAAAAAATTGCAGCTCTTGTTATTTCAGCAACATGGAACATGCTTGTATTTTTTTGCTCTTCTTTGTGTCTTGGAGCCTGGGACATGAGGCAAACATGAGCCATACACCCTGCAGCGTGGACGGATGTAGCTGATATCCCAAGGCTGTAGCACAACAAGGAAAGAACACACACAAGCTGGATTCTACTGGTAAGTCTGGGAGTCACAGGTCACCTAAACAGTCTGCAAGAAACAGCATCTTGCTTACAGCTCAGATCCACCCATTGCTGATCTCACCGCTGAATTTTGAAAACCCTTTCAGCAGATACACAGATTCCACAGGTAACTATTTTAGGAAGCAAAACTGTCAGGGCAGAGGAGGCACAAAGTGATTTTACCTGGCACAGAGCCCATTGGGAGGGGGCTCCAAAAGCAGCCAGGGGCTCCTGTGTGCATCACTCAGGAATGGGGCTCATCCCAGCCCATGCACAGAGCGCATTTCACCGGCAGTTAAGGGCACGACCCCCGCTTCTCTCCAAAACAACCTGTCCCTTGTGCTAGGAGTTTGTGTGCCAGGAGAGCAGAGCAGCTCTCCAACAGGTCATTCTGAGGCTATGCAATCTCCATCCTTGGAGGTTTTCAAGACCAACTAGAGCTGCAGCCAACCTGGTTCAATGTTGGAAACAATGCTGCTTTGAGCTTTTCCAGCTTTGATCTTTCTCATTTCTTTTATCTGAACCCCTAAGGGAGCTAGATGATCTTATAGAGCACACAAGGAAAAAAAAAAAACAAAAAAAACACCCAACCAAAACCCATGCTCAATAAAACTATTTTTTTTCAGCATAAAGTGCTATCATGCTTAAAAAAAAAATAGCGACTAAAAATTCTACAGTAACATCTTATTTATTCCCAGCCTCCTCAAAACAGCGTGAACAGCACTTCTCATCCAGTCATGTTAAAATCAGAACAATACTGACCAACCTGGAACAGAAAGCACCAAAGCACTTGGCTGAATAACTTAATTATAAAATGAAACTTAGCAATTATCCCAAACCATTTCACCTTTCTGACAGGCCAGTAACAGACTGTCCATAAAGCACCACCATATTTGAATTCATCAGAAAGACAATGCAAGGGGGGAGGGAATCACTGACCTAGCTTCTATTTTCTGTTCTCTGAACTGTGCCATTCCATGACACAAATTGCTCCAGAAATGCTAATAAACAAGCAACCCCTAAGAGTATTGACACACACAGTGAGATGGAACAATAGCTGGCTACTATATTGAGCATGCTCTTGCTTTTCTTTTCAATACAGCAGCCTACTGATTTGATCCATTGTTGCCATATTAGTTAAGTGCATCCAATACATCCATTCCTGCAGCACTCTCCCACTCAAACTGGCTTGCAGAGTCATTCACTCATCTTAACTGCAAAGACTAGATCCTAGCATGGGCTGGGTGACAGCTGACACTCACATTGGACACAGCGCGCACAAGCTACAAAAGTGACAGTCAAACCTGTTTCCAGCACATCTACAAAACCTACAGGCCTCCTTTCCAAAACTGCCACCCAGCCCTCATTTATCAGAGATGTGAGTTCTGCCTTTGGCTCTAATTTCTATGCCTATGAAGCATGTAAGGCTAATCAAGTAACTCAATTGGACTAAGATTTTCCTAGACATCTTTAAGGCTTTAGTTGATCTCAGATTTTAGTTGGCTAGCAGGTAATATTTGCATGCAGAGACCTGAATTGTTCCTAAGGCAAGCACTGCACAGTGCTCATGCAAGTAATCCAATTCTTCCAGTCATTCAGGCTGATAATGCAAACAGTCAGCCTGATGGCCTATTTTTTTTCAGAGGACTTCAACAATGCCTTTTCAGGACAGACACAAAACTATGTACATTACTTCCTAATTGCCAGTGCAACTGAAAGAGAAAAATACTTGTTGTAAATCTCCTACTGGCACAAATCAGCTCTGTGTGGTAAGAATATCCTGAAGGACAGAAAATGCACCTCTCCCAAAGAGAACACTGGATTTTATTTTGTCCCTGACGCAGTATTGGTACAGTAAGCATACACCACCCACATTATCTCAAAGCATTATACTACTACAACAACAACACAAGTCCACAAGCAATTGGAACAGATCTGACTGGGCTATGACAATGAAAGCAAGGGGCACTACAATTCTTAGAGACATCACAGCAAAATGGAGCAGTATTCAGACCTTTTCAAACCCTGTATCATCAGGTTGCAGTGAAACAGCTACTCATTATTCCTCATGCTACTTTTCTGCCATGTAACTGGACACCAACAGCCAGTTTATCTGGTTGCCAGTCTGAAAGCAACAGCGATAGGTTGTTTATTTTTGCATTTACTACAATTTAACACAGTAAATTGAACACTGGTTTAAAAGATCTTGGCATCTTAGCCCACAGAAATAATCTTTCTTTAAAAAATCCGAGGTCAGAGCTCATACCTTTGCTGTGAAAACAAATGTTCAGCTAAACTGCATTTCTGGTACCTCTCCCAAATGTTATAAGCAAAGAGGGCAGTAGCCTCTTTGAAGGACAAGTTACTAAGAAGCTCAGACAAGCAAAGATGATTTCAGATCAAAGAACCTTGAAGAGGCTTCTGATGGTATCGTTTACTGCTACAAAATCCAGTAGCAGCAGTGCATAACTTAACCCCATACAACAGTCATGCTACTTTAACCTAAAATCAGTATAATAAGACTGTTGCCTTGTAACACAGTTGCAGTCACGTTATCAGACTCAAGCATATGAAATGAAGAATGGATAGAAATTCAGCATATAACAGTACTTAAGCACAGCATTACATGCTTCATTTCAATAGACTAATAACAAACTTCAGCTGTCAGATTATACCCAACTTCAGCTGTCAGATTTTAGCTTCAAAATTCAAAATAGAAGTTTAAACACTAATATGAGAACTAGAAGCTTTTAAAGAAAAGGCACATCAGTTTCACACAAGTCTAGTAGTTATTTCTCAAAAACAAAGACTCCAAATATTGCCAAGTCTGAGCAGGAAGACTGATGGGAATTGCAAAGAGTTTTCAATGCTTTTTTGAAAACCAATGCTGTTTCAGTGTGTAGGTCTGATATAAATAAGCCAACAGATACTGCACAGGAAAGCCAGAAAAAAAAGAGTTGGTCTGCTATTTAGTTGACTTTAAATGTCACTGCCTGTCATTTAAAAAGCAACAAATAACCACAAGACACCCCTCTACTGTTGGCCAAATGTTGCCAAAGATGAGGCATTAAGTGGTTAAGAAAAGTAGGTGTGGAGAGTGCATTTAAAGTAACAAACCAAATGAGGCAAGTAAAGAGTAAGAGCTCCAAGGACCCAAAACACCACAAGACAAACATTGAGATAGCAACAAATGAATACACTGCGAAAACACATTGAAGAAACAGGTAGAGATGCAGGAAGAAAGAGAAACTATAATTGTGGCAGTAGCACCTTCTGCATGGAAAAGCAAGACAGATACCAGAGCAAAACCCAGAATAAGTAGTTGTACTCTGAAGGGACACCTGGAAAGCAAAATCAAATATTGCAGACACTATTGATAAATGCATTAAAGAGTGCCAAAACACACAGAGCTTGCACATTTGTATAATTTCTAATGCTGGAAGTAATAAGGTAACTCTCATGCTAATAAAAGGAAGTTGAGAGCTTTTCACTAAGCTTTCTGCAGAACTTTAAAACCAATTTTAAACCACCTGTCTCAAGGAAGACACAACCTCATCTTCAGTTCTCATATGTTTAACAGTCATCTGTCACACTGCAGTCACTAAGTGACTTCTCTGAAGGCTTCTGGCTTCTGTGCAAGCCAATGTATCCCTCTGTCACAAGTGGTGTAATTAGCTACAGTGGAAGGACTGGAAGCTTTCATCTTTCCCCACACTGTTTTCATTAGTCTCAGCTGAGCAGAACTGGAAAAGAAAGACAGTATCACCGTGTTCAAAACGACAATAT